ATCTATATAAAGTAATCCTTTCCTGCAATCTTTCGGTTACAGGCTCATGCATAGGTATCAGGCGAGCATCTTGTTTGGATAAGCTTGTGAATAATTCAAAATTATCGCAATGAATTCATGAATCTTTAGCTTAGTTTTCCGTATCTTCGTTCAATGTCCACCAAATCGGATAATAGCTTGCTGCTAGAGTATGGTATTAACATTTCAACTTGGTAATGAAACGGTGAGAATGGGCTCATACGATTTATGTATTAGATAAGGGAATTGCCAATTTATAATGTAGACTTTGACGGAAACTAAAAAAAAACAAAAAGATTTTAACAAGTGGTGTGACAAGTCATCGTTGGTTGTTAGTGCGATTCGTAGGGCCTTAGCTTTTGTGTCCGAATATCAGTTAGTAAGTCCGGTAGCTCGGAAGCCAGACAATGTTAAGGGAAAAATGGAGTCGAGTAGGTCGACTCTACACTTCCCATGCAACGCTGTCATTTGTTCGTGAAGGATTAAGCAAATATCACTGATTTTGTACACACCAATACACATAATCACCCAGATGCGATCTGGCTATTCAACTAACTTCTTCTCAGAGATAACAACTACAGACTACTCGGCTTCGCAAAATACGAGGAATGTCTTTCAAGTTTTGCATATAGAAACATAGTAGGCCGCGCGGATCGAACGTTAGTACTGAATCTTAACCTCACTCTTTAGTAAACTTAAATTCAAAGTTTCACAACAATACGTGCAGTGTTCTCACTACAGTGAATTTTTCAGTGTCACCAAGTCATTAGAAAAATGGAACTCAACCGAGAACATATTCGCGCCATGATTTATTACAACTTTCAGAGACAATTATCGCAACAAGAAAGCGTTGCTGAGTTACTGTCTGTTTTCGGCAACGAAGCGCCACATCAGTCGACAATTTCCCGTTGGTATGGAGAATTCAAACGTGGACGGGTGAGTCTTAGCGACGATCGTGGGGTGGGTGCACCAAAAACGGCAGTCACCCAGGAAAACGTCGATGCTGTGCGCAAAGTCATCATTGAAGATAGACATGTGACATATCACGAGATTGAGGCATCCTTGAAGATCTCAAAGACCTCCATTCAAAAAAATGTACATGAGGAATTAGGAGTAAGAATTAGTTTCTCGTTGGATACCCCACCTGTTGACTGAAGAGCAGAAAACAGCCAGGATTAATTGGTCTCAAAAAACGCTTGACCGTTTCAATTCTGGAAAGTCAAAAAATGTGTACAGCATTGTTAGTGGTGATGAATCGTGGATTTACTGTTATGAACCAGAAAATAAACGACAGTCGGCTGTTTGGGTGTTCCAAGGTGAAGAAAAGCCAACAAAAGTCATCCGTTCTCGAAGTGTTTCGAAAAAGATAGTCGCGACATTTGTGTCAAAAGCAGGCCATATTGCAACAATTCCTCTCAATGAGCAAAGAACTGTTACTGCGGATTGGTATACCACCATTTGTTTGCCAAAAGTCATCACCGTGCTTCGAAAAATCAACCCCAAAAGAAGAATCATCCTCCACCAAGACAATGCAAGCTCGCACACTGCCCAAAAAACAAGGCAGAATTTAATGGAAGAAAAGTGGAATTATTGGACCATCCTCCATATAGTCCCGATCTAACACCTAAAGATTTCTTTACTTTCCCGAAAATTAAAAACAGACTGCGTGGTCAAAGGTTCCAGTCACCAGAAGAAGCAGTGGACGCTTGCAAAAAGGCATTTAAAACTACGTACCGTGTTGTTTTATTTCCATATGCAAAACTTAAAAGACATCCCTCGTATATAGTTGAGCCATTCCTCCATATATGGACGCTCACAACGATCCTAGTGAGCAAACGTGGAATGACTGTTTGCACCCTAAAAACTACCTAGTTTGCAAGATGACATTTTATAGGTTTTTTGACAATTTATAGTTTTTTTTACATAATACCCGTGCGGATCTGAAAAACACTGTTTGATCCTTTGGAAAGGTCCTTTTTGAATAAGACCACTTAAAAAAAGAATCATAATATTTTCTGAGCGGATGTGAAAGTACTTCTTGGACAATAAATGATCAGCGAGTTTTAACGATTTGAAACTGGGGAGGTTCCAATTCCACATTTGGTGGTCGTACACAGTTGGTTGCTACTTGTTTAAGAAATCGTTGCTGATAGAAGCAGGGGTGGCAACGGGTCACCTTCTATTGGACCCTTTTCGTTGTACCAACTCTGTATCCACATGCTTGTCTATTATTAACTGATTACTGAATAAACTCCAGCGATGCAATGTACAGTCGGAGAAAAGCAAAAGTTCACCAATTTTTTCCTAACAAGGTTAAAAATAGCTTTAAAATAAAGTAATATCAAAATACTCTTCAGGGTATTCTTAAGCAAGATTTAAACTTGAATTCAGATACCTAGCGACCTCAAAAATTATAATTTTTAACAGACTCTTTAACCATTGGATATACCCATGTTTAGTGCTCTTCAGAGATTAAATCGCTGTATCTCGGTCAGATTCAGAGAAAAGTTAGTGAAAACCTGTTTTGTTCGGAATGATTCAAAAACCTTGAAAAAAATTGTACGGGCCGAAACATTGTAATTTATTTGAATAAATGCTTCAACAAATTTGATCTATGTTTACCGTGTGTGGGTATATTCAATGCTTCAAAAATCGGTTAAAAATTATGATTTTTGAGGAAGGAAATAATCTAACTTAAAGTTCAAACCTTGCTAAACAAGACCTTGAAGTTTAGTTGATTTGAAAGCGATTTCAACCTTGTTCGTCAGGCTGATATCACTGAAAACCAAATTTGTCTGCCGGCTTGAGTTCAATGTCTACGTGAGAGAAGTATACAGGGTGGCCGCAAAGTTGGGGTTTTCCTTTTCAGAAACAACTACCCTTGAAATAACAAAGGTAATGTGTAGTGAAACGAGGGCGACCAAGTAAAAAAATAAAGGAAAAAGTACTCACTCTCCAGTTGACGAGAAGGGCTAAGTACGTCTCTGCCCGAAATCATACCGCTCCAACAGAAAATGAAATCAGCTGATGCGCTACCGAGCAGACGCAGGCAAACAAGGAAGGCAAAATGTTGCGTAAAAAGTCTAGGTATTGCATCCCGTCCAATCGATTTGGGGGAATAAATGGTCCAATGAGCATACCGTTCACCATGCCAGCCCAAACATTCACCGAAAATGTTTGTTGAAAATGTGCCCGACAGACAGGTTGCGGATTTTCTACCGACCAAACATGAGTGTTGCGAAAGTTATTCACCCCATTACGCGTGAATGTAGATTCGTCTGTCACCAATATGCACTTCAAAAAGTCCGGATTATTGTCATGTTGATGCAACAACCACTCACAAAACCGCACTCTTGCTGGAAAATCGTCAGGTTGAAGGGCTTGTACACGTTGGACGTGAAACCGATACAGCCCCTCTTCACGCAGCGTTTGCCACACTTTAGTTTTTGATACTTGCACTTCTCTAGCCACGTCTCTAGTGCTTGTTGAGGGATTCTCGTCTACGCGATTCAGTAGTTCTTCCTCAACTTGCACCATTCGTGGCTGTCTAGGCCTCCCACTGTGCCCACCTCGAAATTCCTCCAAATGACCCATATCCCTGACTCTCTGGACCAGGTACACAAATCTGCGGGCCCTTGGATGATGTCGTCTAGGGAAACGATCTGCATACACTCGCGAAGCCTCTGTAGCATTTTGAAGACATTCGCCATAAATTAACAACATATCAACGAGTTCATTATTGGTGTATGAGTGTGCCATTATTATTTTTTTTTGAAACGCAATCGATTATACGGGTTCGTTTACCTCTACACGCGTGACCGTAACCGTCAGTTGAAGGTTGCATACTGACCTGACACACTGACCCAGTTCTGTCGTCGGGTTGAGCTAGTGTCCTAGTACCACTCGGGGATGTCGCGGGTCGCGGCTACAGGACGGTATTTAGATATTTTTGATGTTGCAGAGCCCTTTATCTCGGTTCCCTTAAGACATTGGTGTATATGGTACTAAGAAAAATTGCGTATGTTTTCAAGATCTACACGTCGTGTAAAGGAAAACCCCAACTTTGCGGACACCCTGTATAAAGACATATATGTTGGAAAAAGATAGAAGTCGGCTAGATACCGAAGCTCATTACCTCGTTGTCGAGCAACTCTGATGCGACAATCAGCCGCGTGATAAATACGTTCCACCAGTTCCTTGAATTAGCATGCATGTCGAAAATATGCTTTAGCTTACTCTCTACGCCCAAAAAGTGCTTTTATTTTGAGCGTACACATTTTTGAATTGTGAATAGTGGCGAATCTGCTTAGGATCGATTCGAGATTGGTTGCTAGGCAATATGGTGATGACCTTTTGCTGTTCAGACGGCTTCTCTTTCTAACATGTGTTGATGCACACTTCTCGCATTTCTCACTCGTACACATTCAACTCAAGCTGTCAGACAAATTTTGTTTTCGCATATAATCATTGAGGTCTACTTGTAATATGTACGAGCATGCTTCATTAGCGCTCTCGATCTAACGTACATGTTTCTCTCTCTGTCTTTGTCAAACACATTAAATACGGGATTTCAATGATTCTATGCCGATCCTGTATAGAGAAACACAACATCCAGACATACCTGGCTACCCACCCCTGTTGATACAAACAAAATGTTGGAGAATTGAAAGCGTGAGAGCATCCTGTAAATATATTTGCTGAAAATCAGCGCTTCCTGTTGAATAATCCGAGGACGTTTCCGGCTTTGAAAGTTTGAAGCCGTTCTTCAGTGGGTGAAACGAGGAAACTAGATTCAAGGGCCGTCCTAAAAAATTCATGATGAGGCGAAAGCGGTCGAGAAAATGCTCGACGCGACGACGAAATTGAGATTAGGAAAAGCCGGTAACGTGGAAGACAAAGACACTGAGAGTATACAGGGGCTTCTATACCAGAAGAACAATTAACTTCATGCTACACAAGGATCTGCATAATTTTCATTCTAGGCAAAAGTATAATCTGTTTGTGCCTTTCACAAAACAAGGTGTCTTGGGGCCAGGAATAAAGAACGAGTCGCCCAATGAAGTAAAACTATCTCGTTGAAGCGGTTCAAAACATGTTTAAATAGTTTTTTGTTAGGTAAGTGTTGGTAGAGTGTGTCTGAGTTTGTTAATGTTTAAGAAATTCTATTTTGTTTTCTGACTTGACGAATCCAATGCATATTATTATGTCTCCTGGATAATCATAAAAATAACAATAATAATATTAGATTATTAATAATAATAGTGATAGACTATTATGATTATTATTATTATTATTATTATATACCAAAATGGAAGAGAATACCATACCACGTCGTACGCTACAGCTAACGCGGTGTTCCTTTGTATGCACAGCGGTTCGAAGACTGAAAAACCCGGCCAAAAGCCAAACAACATGCCTGATATATTGAATCCGCCATTTCGATTTTCTAAAAATATCAAATTCGTCATCAGCAACCTTTAAAACATAGAAAACTCGAATTTGAGCATAATCGAAACATTGTTTTGCAAATACCATATTGAATCCGTCATTTTGATTTCCCAAAAGTCAATATCAAATTCGTTATCAGCGACTTGAAAAACATACAAAAACTCGATACTAAATTTGTAACTCGAACATTTTTTTTGCTAACATATTGAATCCGCCATTTTGATTGTTCACAAGTGAATATCATACGTGTTATCATCGAGCTCGATAACATGTCAATGAAGTCTTTTGTTGCTTTTTAATGCATCTTTCTAGTTTTTGGGCATTTGAACCACCGTTAGCAGACTATAGTTGGCTTTCTTGATAGACGTCTTTGCGCTCTTGACATGGCCTATATCAAAAAGAATGCAGAGCGTGGAGAATTTATCTGGATGAGTGAAAATATAAGTTTTTTCTTTCTACGTTTACAACCACCTGGACTTGAAAGATTTTTTGTATCGATTAAAAAACGTGTATTGACATCTTGTAAATCTACTACTCAGTTATGGGCAGCACGATACTTTACAGATTCTGGATTTGAGTACGCAAGTTAGAAATAGATCTATATAAATGCATGGGAAATGTTGAGTCTCCATACTTCTTTTGATTTTATGTATCATCTGAATTTGGTTGCCAATTTATAACTCACTGATTTTAAGTTTAAAATAATATATGAAAAATGATATCATAAAAATGCCCACATTTGGAAACCACACAAACCTAAGTCTTCTTGATCAAGTTTTCCATCGTTTTTTTTTTGTAGGTTTCTGAACGAATATTTTGAACTTTGCTCTGTCTTGCTGAAACCACATCTTATGTATACTGACATATAAATCCGAACACCCAGTTTAAATGGTTTTATTTTAATAAAAGTTGGTGAATGTATTTATCTTACTGTAAGTATCGAATGAAAAAATTTTCAGCCTTATCAGTTGGACATTCCGGTTTTTATACTGCTTTTTTTTAATTCACTAACGCTCTAAAAATGAATATTTCAGCCGCAGTAAAGAATCAACGTTGGCGGATTTTGGTTCTTGACATCCTTTACGATCGATTACGATGCCTAGAGTACGGAGACCTGTACGATTTCGTCAACTTAGTGAGTTTGATAGGGGCCGTATAGTGCGACTTCGGGAAGCTGGACTTTCTTTTTGGGCAATTGCAGTTAGAGTGCAAAGAAGTGTAGACACTGTGGTTAGATGTTGTCAGGCATGGCTTCGGGAAGGCCGTACGCAAAGAGCAAGGGGCACTGGACGCCGCCGTAGAACAACAGACCGTGAAGATCGCCGCCTAAGATTATTGGCCTTAAGGGACCGTTTCTCCACTACCAGGTCCATTGCAAATGAATGGTTTGCAGAACACGGAAGACCTATTGGCATGCGAAATGTTTACCGACGAATGAGAAGTTTTGGCTTGTTTTCATACCGGCCACGCTGGGTCCTCCCTTTAACTCGAGAACACCGACGTAATCGCCTTGAGTGGTGCAGACAACGGTCACTCTGGGATCAGGAATGGAACAGTATTGTCTTTAGTGACGAGTCTCGATTTTGTATAGGCATGCACGATGGTCGTGCCAGGGTTAGAAGGCGACGTGGTGAAAGGAGGAATCCACAGTTTTTTGTTGAAAGACATGTTCATCACACTGTTGGAGTTATGGTTTGGGGTGCTATAGCTTATGGTTCCAGGTCACCTTTAATCTTCATCAGAGGTAACATGAACGCGCAGCGTTATATCCACGAAGTTCTAGAACCCCATCTTTTACCAGGGTGCATCCACACATTATTAAAGGTCAAAGGGCTTTAAAGCAGTGCAATCATTTTGAAATTTTTATCATTTACTTATTATGCTTCATTAAGTACTTATACAAAATTTTATTAAAATAAAACCATTTAAACTGGGTGTTCGGATTTATATGTCACTTAGTATATTTTAGGAGATTTGAAATTCAACAACTTTGGCGAATTTATCTGGCCTCAAAGATCAGCACTGTGTGTGTCAACAAACCATGCAACTGAATAGTATCTAAATCTACTAAAAAGTGATGGCAAACTTAATCAAGAAAGCTCCGGCGTTTACGGCTTCCTGAGGTATTTATATAGAATTCGCTATTCGTACCAAACTTCTTTCAATGAGATATAAAATCACATCAATTTTAAACGATTTTAAACGTATTAGAGGAGCAAGAATTTGTCATGTGTTGGCTACCACATAATGATGAACACTTAACAAGCTTCTCCGAATTCCAAAGTAGAGATTGAATTTTAAAACCTTTGTGTGGAATCTTAAAAGTGATTAAAATTGCCCAAGATAGTCTACCAGTTTTTCTCCGTAAGGAGCGTGGGTAAATAGCATATTGTATTGAGGGAGCGAGGATTACCCTGTAAGTACGGTTAATAATCCGGCCCTAAGGATCATTAGGATTATGAATTAACGATTATTCTGAACCGAGAGGGTCAGTAGGAGGAGGGTCGAATGAGTTGTGAGGGGTTTTTGTTCGTCCTTCCTCCTCTACATCCTGGACTCTTAATTAATTTAGAGGAGGTTACGGCGTCCACCGTAAATCGCGACACTCGTAAAATATGGCGATAGCGCGACAATGAAACCCTGCATAGAGTGTCGAGGTGCTTGCCTAGCATTTTAAGTTACGGTCTGCAAGGTAGCCCTCTGAGGATTAGTATTATGAAAAACAAAGGACAAACGTGGGTAGATCCGCAATAAAGGAACAAGAGCAGAAATAGAAGGATCGATAACCCGAGCGATGCACGTTCCAGCTAATTGGCTTCATCAGGCCCAAATGGATGTGCATAGAAAACATCAAAATGAAAACATATTCCCATCACATCTACAACAAGGATGGAGATGGAAAGGGAAATGCAATTAGAAGCCACCGAAAAGAGCCAGCAGGCAGATGGCAGATTTGTGTATACATGCGTTTTCACGTCAGTGTTTTCGATTCACATCCGTTGAAGCCAATAAGCAAAAGCGGACGTCGCTCGGGATACCAGCCCTTCCATTTCAGCTCATGCTTGTTTATTGTAGACATACTCACGGTTGTCCTTTGTTTTTCATCTGAATTTCCGCAAGACTACTAGTAGCTCTATAGCGGGCCTCCGAGGCGACGCGACGTGTTGGCTGTTACCTCGTAAACTACTTAGGTATATTTTCATTTCCATCCTTGTTTTCCTTCAGGTTACGCCTATATCCATATGTCATGAGCATACGTTTTCACTTCTGTATTTTCGATTCACAGCCATTTGAGCCTCATGAAGCCAGTAAGCAGAAACGTACTTTGCTCGGGTTACCAATCCTTTTATTTCTGCTCGTGTTCCTTTATTGCGGACATGCTCACGATTGTCCTTTGTTTTCATCTAAGTTTCCGCAAAATTACTTGTCTTTGGATTAGTATTATTACATAAACTCGTCACATAAATGAGTGAGGTTTTTGTTTTAACAAAAGTTTGCCTTCGAAAATCAGTTTTTTTGCATGAACGAGTAGTGGGAATACTTTCCCTCCATAGTTCGGACTCAATATTCTTCTCGGAAGCTATGACGTAGTAGACTATTATGCAATCTGTCGTTGAGAATGTAACCTCACTTCTGGCATCGGATGTGAGGAAATAAGTTTTTTCTGATATCAGCACATAATTTGAGTTTTGCCGAAGACGATAAAAACTGAGTAATTGACAGGTAAACCTGTTTTGAAGTATTTTTTGTGTTTAGTATACCTATTTGAGTTTCAAAACATTGAAATTTTAAAGTGGAAAAACTTGCTCTCCATAGTTCGGACGCAACATTTTCCACTAAAGCTGTGACGTAATAGATTTTTATGCACCCTGTCCTTAGAATGTCACCTCATTTCTGGCATCGGATGTGAAGAAAATAACCTTTATTTTCAGATAGCCACAATTTTATATGAAATCTACAGTCACATTCTATCGATCTGTCGGCGGATAATGCATATAATTCATATGTATTCTGTTTCAATTTAAAGATTGAATCGGCTACTGAAAAAAGTTATGTCACATAATTTGAATTTTTCAGAAGGCGATAATAATTGGATTATTGACAAGTAAACCCGTTTTTTTGTGTTTAGTATAATATTAATTTGAGTTTTGACACATTGAAATTTCGAATAGCCTTAGTTTAGATAGTTTATTTCTAATAATAACGGTATCTTGAAGAACTGACTTAGACTTACGTTGTTTTAGCATTGAATAGGGTTAGTAAAACGTATTTTTAGCAAAACGATCATATTGACCGTATACTTGTTGCTTATTATTGAAAATCACATTAATCAGCCATCGCGAAAAAGGTCAAGCTCCTTCAATAAATAACCGGCATTCAGTCGTACAAGAACCCAGGTACTATACAGCAAAATGTATTTTCTCAATATAAAAACTTATTTTGCAAAACAGGTGTTGCGTTTGTTATTCGATTTTTCGGGACAACTTTGCTGATACTGTATTCGCATGTAACTTTATTTTTGTAGTTAGTGAATTGATACTTGCTGCATACAGCACATGAGTATGAAAAAAAAAACAAACCAAGGATCCTGATACTGTTTTTGGAATCATTCA